ACTTAAAAAGAAAAAAAAAAAAAGTAATAATGGAGAACCTGCATCTAAGCAGCTAAAAGATAGCGAACAGTGAATAGTATTTTTGATGCAGAAGTTGACATTGGTAGGGACTTTTCTTAACATCTATAATGGCTGAGAGAGTCTTGCACTGAAAGCTATCTTTGAAACCTGACATTTAAAGACCCTTAGTTAACAGCCACTTGACCTGAAGAAAATTAATTAATTTGCTTAAAGGAGCAACAGATGATTTTGGATCAACACATGGAGGGCAGAAGGTACTAGTTTTGCTCCCAATTCTTAAAATTCAGGGAATTACCTTGTTCTGTGTCTTTCATTGTCTGACCTTGAACAAACACTCTTTCATCTATTCTATTTTTGTCTGATGTTTTTTTATCAGGGTTGCTTTAAAATGTCATCCATCTAGAAATGGAGCCACATATACACATAAGATAAATTTTCCTCATCAGATAATTCTAAGCAAACTTGATTGCATTGCTTTTTATAGAAATTATATCCCACTAATCATCCCTTAGAGAAATTAGCTACTACTAAATCTATAGAATCATTAAGTTAAATAACCAATTACCAGAAAGAAGAAATACATACATATATGTATATACACATATATGTGTGTTTGTGTACGTATGTATAAATATGTAAAATACATACAATAATATGCACAAATATATGAATACACTCATATATATCATGAAGTTGTCTAATGAAGACATTTTCCTTTAAAAAAACTAAGCAGCAAATATCTAGTATTCAGGAAATACCAAGTAAGTTTTGAATGAAACCTTTGAACTAGGTTTCTGCAGACTGAAAAATGCATAAGCTAGAATTCACCAAAGCCAGTTTTTAAAACACACAGATGAGCTCAAGAAAAAAATCTGAAGTGAGAAAATAGAGTGACCAAAAGCCAAATGGGCCCATGGAGGTTCAAGGTTCCATCTAGTGAGAGTAGGGTATGTGAGGGTAACACCTGTAGGCCATAGAATGAAGTTGGTGCCTGTGGAAAGTCTAAGTTTGCAAAGTTCCTTCCATGACCGTGGGCCTAATATAGCAGCTGGGAGAAGCAACAGGGATGCTTGCTTCTGCCTACACCAAAAGAGGACAAGTTTTCACCTCTGTTGCAGTGAAAGGACAAACATCATCATAGGGTCTGCTCACTGCCTGACTCAAGAAACATGAACGTCTCATGGAAAACAGTCCCTGCAGAGGACAGAAACTAGTATCTAAAGGAAGGAGAAGAAAGACAGATTTGAAGAGAACAATCATACATAAATTTCAGAAAATAATATAGTCATCAAAACTGACTAATGGTGTAAACTCCACCTGGTTTCCAAGACTATGTTCTTTTAGTCAGGTAGAAAACTTTAGCTTAGAGTTAGAAACAGTACTTACCATCCAGAGTATAAAGCATGTAGATAAGAACTAAATTGAGACTGAGGTTTAGGTTTTAATAAGGAGAGAGTTCTGGAGACAATCCCCATGTCTACTGAAAAATCTGGTTTTAAGTGCTCTAGCACTTCCATGGGAGATGCTGTATATCCAATGGGAATGGGCCTTGTTTACTTCTGCCACTCTAGTATGGATTGATTCTTTCCCCCTAGCATAAAATATGTACATTGTCTTCCTTTTAATCTCTCCCCTATAATCCCATATCATCATTAGGACACTCCACATACAGATCATTGTCTAGGTTGAGAATATCGAGTTAGCAGCCATGGACTACAGTGAGCTAACTGGCCCATGCAAACTTTTACCTCAATTTTAGGGGACTCCAAGGAACTATTACGTTGTGCAGATTTTATTTTTCTTTTAAGGCTTAGAAGAAAAAACTATCATTACAAGTCAATTTGTGGTAATATAATACTAAACCATTAGTATGAGTATAGTTTATTGGCCATTTTAAAAGCAGCTGGCATTGGGTATTTAGCCCAATGGTTAAGATGTCAATTAAGACTCCCATATGCTGTGCCACAGCACCTAGATATGATGCCTGGACCAGGCTCCTGACTTTATCTCCAGAAGTCAGTGGTGATGTCTCGAGTATTTAGAGCCCTGCCTCCCTTATAGGAGATCTGCATTGAGCTCCTGGTTCCAGCCTCTAGCTCAGGCCCAGCCTTGACTGTCATGTGCATGTGGGTAATAAACCAGCAGCTGAGAGCTCTACCTTTCTCTGTCCACCTCTAAAATAATTTTTAAGGTGTTACTTTTAAAAAATTAATTTGGAGAGAGAGGGAGTGTAATTCCCGTCTACCAGTTTAACGTTCCAAACACCAATGGCTAGACCAATACCAGAGCTGGGAGACAGGAACTCAACATAAGTCTCCCACGTGAGTGGTAGAAACTTGCCAACTTGAGCCATTATCACTGACTTTTGGAAACCCCGTGTCTGCATTAGCAAGAAACTGAAATCAGAAGCCAAAACCAGGAGTGCTGCTCAGTCCTATACGGGGCATGTATATCCTGACAAGTTAACTACTAGGTGAGTCATGCATCCTGCATTGTGTGTTGGAGCAAGCAGACCTCTCCCTGCCTACTTTCTTGTCAAGCATGTTGTACCACATAGCTTCAAGTACAAACAGTGTATGAAGTATACCTCAAACTGTGTAATTCCTTGGTTTCAACTCATCTTGTTTAAAATGAAAATTCAGGAATTAAATCTTTATTCTGTAAAGCCATTTTTTTTAGCACAGGTGTTTAGTGTAGCAGTTAACAGATCCACTTGGGGCACACACTTCCCATGTCCAAGTCACTGGGATCCAATCCTGGCTGTGATTCCAGCAGTCTGCTAATGCATATCCTGGGAGGCAACAAGTGATGGTTTAAGTAGTTGGCTTCCTCCCACCCACTTTACAGACCGTGATTGAGTTTTCAGCTTCTATTTTGGTTTAGCCCCCAATTGTTATAAGGCATTTGGGGAATGAACTAGTGGTTGAAAACTCTCTCTCTTTGCCTTCCAAATAAAATAAACGCTTTGCCTTTCAAATAAAATAAACAAACAGTATATTGTATGTTGACGCACCATTTTTTCAAAATATTTTTATGTTCAGTTGTTTTCTGAATTCTGTATTTTTCATGATATAGTTCCTTAGGCTCAAGGACTTCCCCTTCCACCCTCCCCAAACTCCCTTCCCCTATATTATAATAATAGTTTAGTCCTTCAACAGCAGTCACAAGTCCATCATTCTGCTATTTAAGTATATCTTGACATTGTAAGTATAGAGAATGATATAAACTCTACCCATTTTTGATCCTGAGATCCTTCAGTGTAGTCTTTATTCCAAAGTTTTTATCTTTGATACATAGTAGGCACCTCAGCTGAGGAACTGAATGAATTAATGAACGCTTAAAATACCAAGTTAGATCATGCTACTGTATACTAGACACAATGACCCCCAATGGTTCCATCAGCTTGGTTTCGAGCGAATAATCCTGGCTACAGAACATGTCTGACATTAGGCTGAGCTTTCCTAGGTGTTTTGTCTCCGAGATTAAGACGTGCAGAAAGCTGTCAACAGCTTAGAGTGTAAAAAAAAAATTTTGAACTAAATGCAATAAAAAGGCCCAAGTTCTTGGGTTCCTTAAGCTGACATGGGAGACCCATTTGGACTTCAGAACTCCAGACTTTGACCTGACTGAACCCTGCGTGCTATGGCCACTAGGAGAGGGAACCACTAGATGGGAGCTAATTAGCTAGTCATCATCCATCTCATTATTTCAAATAAGTAAATCTTAAAACCATATAAAATTTAAGATAACTGCACAATTCTGTTTATTATTGTCACCATGCCTTCCTTTCTCTCTCTCTCTCCTCTCTCTCTCTCTCGTAAAAGAAAGGGGCAGAAAAGAACAGAAACCATTTCAGCCATCATGGATCTGTTTCCACTTCCATCTTCTGCTATCCTAGAGAGAATTTTGCATGCTTTTTATTAAAGCTAAGCATCTAGAGTTGTTGCAGATCTATTTCTCCTTCCATCTTCTGCTACCCTAGAGGGAATTTTACATACTTTTTTAAAATTAAAGCTAAGTATCTAGAGTGAGCTGAAAAAAAATGAGAATGAAACTTCCATAGAAAACTAGAGACTGCACATTCCTAAAATACAACCATTTGGAAGATAATATTTTATTTCATGGGTACTACCTTGAGGGAAGGAAAGAGTCAAATAAATAAAGAGAAGCCAAAAGTAAGTTAGTTGGAGTCATTTCTAGGACTAATGGAAAAAGTCATACCGAAGTTGGAATTAAGCAAGTCAGGGAGATACACTTTGAAGCTGGAAGATGAGAGGATTTGTAAAGTCTTGCTAAACCTTTTGTAGAAAGTTAAAGTATATTCACAAAGTTTGGCTCTAGAGGTGTAATTTGTCTTTCAAATACCTTAAGGTATATTTGAAATATGGCTCAGCCTGTTAATTTCTATTTTTATTTTTCCCAAAATATATCTGTTAATAATAAGAAGCTATAACACCTTCCTACCTTAAGATTCTTTTTTGCCTTCCTTATCACCCCGTATTCCTGCTGTGATTGGCCCGTGGGTCCTGTTAACACTCTTAGCGAGGGAACCCCAGCCCTCTTTAAATGTACTTAATATAAAATACACGTTGACTAGTCTATTCAAAATGAAATAAAAATGCATTGGTTATTTGCAAAATCTATGGAAAATATTTACTTACAGTATAATATTTACTTTCAGTGATTTCAAAAATTCATCCACCAATGCAGGGCAAAATCACAGACTCCAATATAGTTTGTTCTCCATAAAACTAAACACATTCTTTGACAGTGTTTGGGGGAAAGGCAAGTGATATATGATACAGAACTTGTCCAAATGCTGGGCTGTTTTGTATTTTGTGCTATTTAATACCATACTTAGCATTTTGTAGCTAACTGTTATTTTAATGCCCTCTGGGGTATCTACTGTAAACACATGGACATAAATTTATACTAGTCATTCAGTCATGGAAAAACATGTCACTTTTCTCTCCTTCTAGGTTGTTGGCGTGGCCCAAGCCATCAACAAGAAATCAGGAAATGGTGGGACATTCACTGAAAAAGATGAAAAGGTACCAAAATTTCTGTCTGGCATGATGCTAGTTTTTGGAAAATGCTTTCTTCTTGCTCTGTATGCACTTCTAAGGATCACCCATTGCCAAGATGGTTGAGTTCATAAAGCATCATGGCTAAAAATGGTTTAAAAGAACCAGAAGTATCTCTTCAGCTAAATACAGTTTTGATTTAATTTGGGAGAGACTGGGTGTTTCAGTGTGTGGACTCCCCCAGAAGTTCTCACCACGCCACCAAGCCCCCCTCTGCTCCTTGTGTGTTGGAGCCACATAGAAGAAAATGGATAGTGCTTTAACCATCTCATTGACCTTTCGTCACTGCTATAAAGAAATTCAATGTCAGCTTAATAGTAATAAAAAAATTACAATAAAAAAGGAGAAATTCAACCTTGAGTATGAAAACACCCTAAAAACGTTGCTCCAAGATCAGCATGCCAGGTTGGCTGAAAACTGGAATTGCTTCCTGATGAAGCAAATTTCCCAATGTTTTATAAGCTTTCCACACAGACGGTGGGGCGCCAAGGTGCAAATTCAGTCTGAATGATGTGAATTTTGCTTCAGAAAAAGCAGCAGTAAGCATTATTTTATTACTCTTTCTCATCCAACTCTGAGTGAATATGTAGTACACACCACATTGATGTGCTAACCATTTAAGCGAGCTCCCCGGCATGTTTCTAACTTCTTTCTAGTGGCAGGTTTTCTTATTTCTCTTCTTGAGTCATATTATATGCATGTCATTGTGACTGAATTCTTCCTATTCCAAGCCCATTGCTATTTATGTTGCTCCACTGAAGAGGAGAAGAGGCTTTGGATGTGGAAGATGTTCATACAAGACAGTCATTTTTCTCTCCATGCTGCAGATAGATTAACCCGTGTTTGAATTGCTTCAGAAAATGCCAAGGACCTCTGTAAATCAGTTATTGACGTGTGACTTCCTGTTCCATTAATGACACCTGAGATTCTTAAGTGGGAAAGACAGTTCTTAGATTACTGTTGTATTCATCATTATGCTCATCATCATGTTAACCACTCGTCAAGTAATTTACAGTGTTTAGGTTCTATCACATCTTGGCAAAATTAAAGCTATAATTCTGAAATAGCATGCTGCTTAAAGATTTCTTTTACCCTGTAATTAATACGATTGTAAGCATATCATACTAGTATATTATGAAGTAGTAAATCCATGTTAAAAAGAGACTATTTAAGTTAATATTTGCAAGTTTATAAATCTTTGCTTTGAAGCTATTATTGCTAGTCTGCTTTTAACGAGGATGTGAGCTTTCTTTTGCTGCAGCAACAAGTTGCAAACTATTTAGTCTCAGAATAGATCCAAATTTTGCGCAGATCAAGTTGCTATTCCAAATGATATAAAGAAAACTTTGTTAGTCCCTCTCCTCTTTCTCCTTATTAGTTTACATCTAACACATGGTCGTACTAATATTTGACACCATGTCATTTTGCCAACACTGGGTTTGCACTAGTTCCAGTTTTATACAGAACAAATATCTATGCTTCTGGCTTCCTCATATTTATGAGAAGTGTAAATACTTCTGGATGTGTTTTGTGTTTCAGAAAATATAGCTCAGCCATTGTGTGGACAGTTCTGACTTGGCTGTTGTCTTATGGGTTTTCTAGGACTTTGCTGCTTATTTGGCATTTTGTGGTATTGTTCTTCACAATGCTCAACTCTATGAGACTTCATTACTGGAGAACAGGAGAAACCAGGTAAGTCTGGCAAGTAAAGAGGAAAAGGGATACCATTCCTCTAAAAACAAAGTTCTGCAAATAATGAATGCATGTTTCACAAAAATCCCAGACATGTTGGTTGAGTTTCTAAATGTTTTACCTGTATCTCCTAATTGTTATTTTCCTGTCCGTTTTCCATGCTGAGTTGTTTTGTCACTGTTAAATAGTACTCATCAGCCTAAGTGTTTTAAATATTTAAATATTTTATTTTTACTTAAAAGACAGATTTTACAGAGAGAGAGAGAGAAAGAGAAACAGAGAGAGATCTTCCATCTGCTGCTTCATTCCCCAAATGGCTGCAATGACTGGAGCTCAGCCAGTCTGAAGCCAGGGTGCAGAATGTAGCATCTTCCACATCTCTCATGTGGGTGCAGAGCTCCAAACACAAGGTCCATCCTTTGCTCCTTTCCCAGGCCACAAGCAGGGAGCTGGATTGGAAGTGGAGCAGCACGAACTTGAACTGCTACTTATGTGAAATGCCACTACCGCAGGTGGAGGGTTAGCCTACTATGCCATGATGCCCCTTTGATATTACCCTCATCTTCCAGTGTCATCGTATCACTGTTTGAAGTTACTGTGTGGGTCTTATAATGATTTTAAATAGTGTGTTCAACTCTTTCTTTATTCACTATTCTGTACTTTATGGTTTGTGATTCTACAGTTCCTTTTGAAAAGGTGTTTATGATTTCTATGACCATGTTGATATTATTTTTATGTATCCTTCTATTTTTTTGTGATATTTCTGAATTCCTTTCTTATTTCCTTAGACTGTTTGCCCTTGTATTCTTCACTTTTTGGTGTTTATTTCCTCCTCAAACTCTGTTGTATTAGGCATTCTGTTGAGTTGTCCCGTTTCTTGGAAGTGTCCAAACTGAGCTTCTTCATCTTTCATTTGCATTGTTATTTGCTTGACAGGTGGTATGTGGGGAGACAGAGAGAGAAACTTCCCATCTGTTGTTCACTTCCCAAATACTAGCTCCCTCTTTGTAGCCTGAGAAAGCATCAAAAGATGTCCCAAAGCCTTGGGATCCTGTACCTACCTGGGAGACTCAGACAAGACTCCTGGCTCCTGACTGGATCAGCTCAGCTCCAGCTGTTGCTGCCATTTGGCAAGTGAACCAGTGAACGGAAGATATTTCTGTCTCTCTTCTCCATGAATTTCATCTGCTTTTCCAATAAAAATAAATATTTTTAAAGAGTAACTTGTGTTAATAAGGTGTCAAGCTTCCATTGTCTTCAGCTGTACTTTTATGTGTTTTTCCCACTTCATTCCTGCCATCCCTTGATTCAGTCCCCATTCATAACACACAAATGTCAGCACAGCACTTCCTTCTGCAATCTAGCACAGTCCAAATTGCTTCAAAAGTATTCAAGGCTTTGATGGTTCCTTCTCTGCTTCATCCTGTGATCTCAGTTTTTCTCTTTGTATTCTGTGTTCCCATAAAGCTTGATCACAGCTTTTAGTGTGCTGCTTTAGCTCAATTCCATTTGCCTGAAATGCTTCCTTTCCGCCCATGTAGCATTTTATGTATAAGATACTATCCAAAATGCTTTACAGATATTTTCGCCCTTAATAGACGTATGATTTTGTGCTAGTAACCCTGTTTTCCAAAACTTTTCCTAGGTCACAAATCTCACAGAAATGAAAGTTGGAATTAAAAACTGATTACTCTGACTTCAGTCTCTGGGATTTTAAACACTATTCTTTCTATATTAACTACCAATAGGGATTTAGTATGGAAGCACATTTAATACTTGAATACAAACTTGGTTATACTTTGCTTGTACATCATTGCATTGCTTTAATAATTGCAATTACTAAATAATGACCTCTACTTTTTTTTTAAACCTAGGTGCTACTTGACCTTGCTAGCTTAATTTTTGAAGAGCAACAATCATTAGAAGTAATTTTAAAGAAAATAGCTGCCACTATTATCTCATTCATGCAGGTGCAGAAATGCACCATTTTCATAGTGGATGAAGATTGCTCCGTGAGTACACAACATGACTTTTTTATTTTCGTAAAGACAGAACTTGGGGCTAGTATTGTGGTATATCTGGCAAAGCTTTCACCTGTGATGCTGCCATCTGGTTTGTGTCTTGGCTTCTCTGCTTCTGATCCATCTCTCTACTGGCGGCCTGGGAAGACCAGAAGAAGTTTGCTCAGGTGTTCAGGCCCTGACATCCACATGGGAGCCCCATGTGGAGTTCCTAGCTTCTAGGTTCAACCTGGCCATGCACTGGCCATTGCAGCCATTTGGGGGAGTGAACTAGTAGATAGAGGATCCCTCTCTCCTCTCCTCTCTCTCTCAGTCTCTCTGTCTCTCCCTTTGTCTCTCTCTCTCTCTGTCTTTCACTGTTGGGAATTGCTAAGAACAGATTGATTCCCATTTTAACTGCGTTGATTACACCTATTTCTTTTCATCAAGATTTGTTTAGAAACTGGATAATATTGCCCAATACAGAGAGGATATCTACATGTACTAATAAAATCCCATATCCTTGACAAATCAACTGGGGCTGACTCTGTGGTGTTGTTGCAGATAAAGCTGCCTCCTGCAGTGCAGGCATCCAAAATGAACAAACTGCTCCACTTCTGAACCAGCTCCCTGCTAATATTCTTGGGAAAACAGAAGAAAACAGCCCAAGTCCTTGGGCACCTACACTCATGTTGGTGACCTGGAAAAGCTCTTTCTCTTTTTCTCCCTCTCTCTCTCTGTAGCTCTGCCTTTTACATGAATAAAATAAATCTTTCTTTTTCTAAGGTTTCAATTCTTTTAAAAAAGAAAAAGATTCGTTTATTTATTTGAAAGGCAGATTTACAGAGAGAAATATTTTCTGCCCACTGGTTCATTCCCCAAACGGTAACAACGGCTGGGACTGTGCCTGTCCAAAACCAGTAATTAGGAACTTTACCTGGGACTCACAGATGGGTGGCAGGACCCATGCACTTGGGTCATCTTCAGATGCTTTCCCAGGCACTTTAGCAGGGAATAAGCTCAGAAGTAAAGCACCTGAGACTTAAAACACTGCGCTTGTGGGGTGCCAGCACCACAGCTCCAGCTCTGAAGTAAGTCAAAAGAAGAGAGAGAGAGAGGGAATGAAGGAAACCAGTAAACTGTTATAATTGGTAGATCTCAGTTTTTTTATTTGTAAAATGAAAAACATTTTTGGATATGGTAAAGATGATGTGCTCTGTGGTGCCAGGTGCTTGTTGACAGGCCACTTGCCTGGAGTTTGCCAAAAGATGCTAGATGCCAGCACCAGGAATTTTCTTTCTGAAATTTTCTTCATTCTCAACCTATGAACCATTATTGGTGGAATATTTCTTTTTGATATGGAAAATCTTTTTCGATGTGTAATATTCTTCCTTCATTAGGTGCTTTCTTTTTCCTTTAGTCTACACGTAGGCAGTTCATTGTTGAATTAACAGGAAACAGTGATGCTACCACTGTTGTTGGTTAGTTGCAATCCTTATGTGGTATCTGGGTTGATCTATTGGGGGAAAACATAGAATAGCAAAAGGCATTGAATGCTTACAGAGTATCTGAAAATGTTTAATTGACTCAGATACTGACTAGATTATATGATCCAACATAATCCAATTCATCTTGTGTATGTATGTGTCAAAAAGAAGTATTGATTAATACACAGATATAGTTAATAGGATATCAAATAATAGATCACTGAGCTAAAACCTGATCAGTATTTTCCCAGCTCCTATTTTGTGTTTTCAATCAGTTATAAAATTCTTAGCATAGAGGTGATTCTAAGGTAGTAACTATCCTTCTAAAGTTCAGGCCAAAATTCATTAAAGTGATATGTAAATTCATCATTTTTCATGACCTGCTCTTTAGCATTTAATATTTGAAAGTTATACATGAGACGTTTCTTTTTTAGAAAATTAAACATCGCTTTAATTAGCATTCAGTGCATGCTTCTGCCGTTTGTCATGGTAGCAGATTCTTTTGGATCAGTGGCACATAGCACTGTACCTCATGTTCTGTTCATTTTTTGACAACTTGTTAGATTTAGAAAATGCATTAGATGTCTTGGTTCTCATTTATCTTACAATTTTTCTTTTACTAAAAACATTTTAATATGAGCCAACATCAAACTGAAGGCAAAAGAAAAGGTACTGTTTTTTTCATGATTATCACATCATGGTTCTATTTCTTCATTTTGTTCTAATTCTTCTATATTCTGTTGTAAATGGATACAAGTATGCATTCTGAGTTTCAGTATAACTCTGAAAGCATTTCTCTAAAGTGTTCACAATTATTTTATATATTTGTATACAATGTATATTTTAGATATTTTTATATTTATATATGAATATGTTTCCATAATCATGATGTAATAATAACACATTATTTAATTAAAATATTACTGAATGACGCATCTTTTCAAAGAAGCATTCTTTAACTGGAATTTAGCATTAATAAATATGTGTCTAATGACAAGATTTAAGTACTTTGAATAAATGTAGAAAATTGGAAAAAAATTTTAGTTTGTTTATGGAGAGGTAGAAAATTCTCATCAGTTTGTTCACTCTCCACAAGTCCATGACAGCTAGGCCAAAGCTGGGAGTTGGGGACAGAATCCGAACTCTCCCACTTGGATGTGGCACTTGAGCCATCACTGGCACGACCCACGGTCTTCAGCAGCAGGAAGCTGCAGTCGGGGATTAGAGGCAGGCTCCACTGCCACTCACTCTGACAGCCAACACAGGTGTCTCAAGCAGAACCACACCAAAGGCCTGCTGGAACATAGAGAAATTTTGAAGTGAATAGATTTAATACTCGATAAAGAGGAAAAGACAAAATAGTACTCAAAGTTTTTTGGCAAGTGAAAATCAAAAGCTATGTAAACAAAGCCTTGATTGATAGAAATTACCTTTGAGGATGTTATAAAATGTGTAGTTAGGCAAGTATAATTTGAGGATAAGTAAAAATATATGAAAAGTGTTAGTGTCTAATTGCACAGTACATAATTCTGTGTCTAAATAGCATCCATAGCTTTGTAAAACTTAATTAAAACATCTCAGTGGTCATTCTGTTTTCAGGATTCTTTTTCTAGCGTGTTCCACATGGAATGTGAAGAATTAGAAAAATCATCTGATAACTTAACAAGGTAACAATGTATTCTCTATTTTTATTACAGGTGTATAATATTGACTAATGAATTACTTCATGATCTGTCAGACTAAAGACATATAAATATAACCTACAGGCCAGTTTTCCTCCAAAATAATTTTATTTGTGAATATACTTCTCTATTTCCCTACAGTTAATCTGCCTGAGAATTATTTTGTTCAGTGAATTGTGCTAAAATCACTATAATATTCAGTTAAATGTTTATATGAACAGATTAATTAAAAACCTATAAATACTGTATTTAAGGTAGTTTTATTCATTGCATATTAAACCCTTACTGGAAATTTCATTGTCTTCTAAACACAGTTTCCTGTTAGGCTGTTCTGATTTGGACTTGCCCTTGAGGATTTAAATAACAGCAGGAAGTTTATAGTACCCACGTTCATTGCCAGCACACATATCTCACCTAGAAACAGATCAGATGTCTCCATAGTAGTTTAGAGCTTTTCCACATTTTTCACTGTTTTCAAATTTGTATTCATTTTATGCTGCTATGTTACTAAAAAATAACCTAAATGACTTACTTGATATAGCTTATAGATGTTATCCTAATTTACACTATAAAATATAAAGATGGTATGTAACTTTCAAATTTCTGAAGAATTTTAAATGGATATAAACTACCAAATGTTCTTCATTGTACTTCTTTTTCATCCTTGGCAAAAAAATAAACAACAACAACAACAAAAAACTTTTGCGTTTTTCAAGTGATAAGCTATCCTAAGGAATATGCATTTTCTAGGCTAATATGTTAGGAATGTATTGCTTATTGTTCATTTTTCCCACTATTTTACTTCTATTATTGATATGGTATCTAAAATCCTCAGGTGGAAATAGAACATGATTTTAACTATACAACCTGATAGGTTTTTTTCAGGGCAATTGATTGAATAAAGAATTATTTCATGTAGAGTGGTGTCACTGAATATCCTAGGGTTCTTAGTGACTATGTATCTTAGTGTTGGCACTTTAGAAATTAGCTTTGTGCACATGTAGACTATAGAACATTCTGGAACATAAATGACAAGGGCTCTAGGTCACTATCGTTGAATAAAATGGATGGAGAGCACTGGTGTTGTTTGCCTAACAGCTAAACGCATTACTCAAACCTTGATTAGATCCCAGTGGAAAACAAAACAAAACAAAACAGTTCCCAAAGCCATTTTTAGAAAAGTTGGACATTTGCGTATGTACTGGATACTAGATGGGTGATAGTGACTTTTTTGGGGGGGTGAGGGGAATTAAAGCAATTATCATTAGTTGAAGAATGTTCTTAGTTTTAAGAGATTCATGCTGAAACATCTGAGGATAAAGTATAATAATGTCTACAACTTACTTTAACGTGGTGCAGCCAAAGGTAAATAAGTAGATCCATTGATATTTAATATATTAAATAAATAATATACACACACATACATGCATAGATAAGGCCGTTGGGATGTGACAAAATAATAAAAAACTGTTCAAACCAACAGCAGGATGTTAACTTTTCTTTCAGCTTTTTTTTATTTATACTCTATATTTTAAAAATTCCTCATTTTAAAATGGGGGAAAAGGTATTTGTAAGTAGAAACAGAATAATGTAAAAAACATCTCTGCAGATCATATTCAGAAAACTGCTGGAATGTGCAGCTGCAAGTATGGAGTTCCTCATGGTGTGGTGCGGAACTCCATGCTGATGCTTCTCAGAGTCCCCGTGTGTGGTGAGGCCCCTGCTGGTCCTCCTCGGGGTCCCGGTGTGTGATGAGGCCCCTGCTGGTCCTCCTTCAGTCCCCTTGTGGTGAGGCCCCTGCTGGTCCTCCTCGGGGTCCCGGTGTGTGGTGAGGCCCCTGCTGGTCCTCCTCGGGTCCCTGTATGTGGTGAGGCCCCTACCAGTTTTCCTCAGAGTCCCTGGATGTGTAATGCGGGCCCTGCTGGTTTTCATGAGTCCCTGGCCATACCACGGGCCCCTGCTGGTCCCCCTCTGCTGTGCCGGAGAGGAGTTGTGGGGTGGAGAGCTTAGAGGTCTGCAGAGGCAACAAGCGTGGCCGTTAGCGTGGACCTTTCCCTTTCTCCTTTCCCCTCGTCTTTCGGCTCTTGTGTCTCATTCTCAAGTTTTCTATGGAGGTGGATAAACTACTGATCCCACAGTGGCTTAGAGTTGTTAGTTTGTAAATAGGCATATTAATATCAAAGCACATTATTGTGAAACTGCTACATGAACAATGTGATATAACGAAAGTTCTTTTATTTTTTAAAAAAAATTAGAAAAAACAGAGGACAGAGATACAACTGCACAAATGAGAAATTCTTTGGATTCAGAAAGTCTACCTGAGTGTGTGCTTGTGTGCAGAAGGGTGTGGAATGGATAGTCAAGATGGTGGGGTGTAGTGTCTGCCCAGTTTTTTAATTCACATGGTCATAATTGATTGCCAATCTTTACCCTCCCTTTTTCTTATTGGTCATTAGCTGAAGCTTAATATCTTATTCCCAAGCCTATTCTTTGCTTAAACACATGCTGTTTGCATTTTCTCCCACATTTGACATTGCATTAGTTTGCATTGACAAAAATTTTAGTGTACAGTAATATATGACTGACCTAGTATAATTAAATTCTGGTACTAAACCATATAGCTTTGTTCAGTTATGAAATTTATTATCCTTTAGAAGATTACTAATATATATTATCTTGATTGTACAATGCTCTAACATCTTGGTTACCTTTTTTTACTCTTTTTAAAAATTTTATTTATTTTTTTATTATTACTATCGTTTTATGACACAGTTCCATAGGCTCCTGGTATTTCCCATATCCCAGGCCCAATTCCCTCCCCCCCCCACCTAGTTCCTCTATATCATTACTAAAGTATAGTGCTTCATACACAGTCATATGTCCATCATTGAGGGCATGGACAATGGCAGAGAGCCCAGCATCCTATTGTCAAGATATAGCACACAGTTTCATTGCAAGTCCTTCTTTGTCTGGAAGTAGAAATGCATATTATATTGTATCCTCACATCTGGATGTTAGTCTCCATTTTGCAGCTACTATACATCCCCTCAAATGAAAAGTCATAATACAGAATCAACAATACAAAGAAAAATAGAAATTTACAATGCCATGAAATTAAATGACATGTTACTAGATATAACAGTCTCCATTACACAGTTACTATACATCCCCTTAAATGAAAAGCCACTAAACAAAATCAACGTCAGGAAGAAAAAAGAAATTAACAACACTGTGAAGTTAAATAACATGCTAAAAAATGCCTAACGTGTAGCTGAAGAAATGAAAATCAAGAACCTTATTGCAGAAAATGATGCTACTGTATGATCTGAGAGTCAGTGAAGAAGTTAATCAGAAGAAAAGTGTTTTGAAAAGATGAAACTAACAGAAAAAATCAAAACCCATGCAATATAGATTCCACTATATCTATAAACATACACACTGATTCTACTTATTTACTTTTATCTTCATAGGACAATACAAAAATTGATATATACATATTAAAGTGTGAAATGATGAATTATTTATATTTACCTAGCATAGGTCTTAGGTCTATATAACTATAGACTGTTGGTATTTTGATTTTTATTATTAATACAAGAATGTCTTGTAATTTTGAAGATGGGGAGCAAGCCCACTGACCTGGTAGAATAGTGACCTCTGCTGGTGAATATGCATTTTTTAAAACAGCAAAAGCAAAATCTAATTTGTTTCTGATGAATACCACATTTCCCTTTTGTAGACAAAATGGAAGGTATCTACACATTAAAATAAATATTTATTTGAGATGCAGAGTGATAGAGGGTGAGTTGGGGGGTAGAGAGAACTTCTGTCTGCTGGTTCACTCCCCAAACAGCTTCTACAGCCAGGTCTCGGTGGCTGAAGCTGGGAGGTGGGAATCCCATTCTGGCATCTCAGATTGGGCCATTATTCACTGCCTTCACAGACACATTAGCAGGAAACAGTATAGGAAGCAGAGCAGCTGGGATGCAAACCAGTACTCCCTTATGGAATGCTGGTGTCATAAACAGTGGCTAAACTCTCTGTACCGCAAAATCAGTAGCCCTTCTCACACCCTCCCCCCACTTAAGAAACCATTTCAAAACAATCCTGAAACAAAGTTTTGTTTGTAAACAATCCATAAATCAGTATGAATGAGTATGAATGTTTTAAAAACTCATTTTAGTTCATTGATTCACTAATTTTATAGGAATAGCAGTTATTTGAAGTTAAAAGCTTTATGTCCGCGAAGTATTTCAAAGCTATTCTTTATTCTAATGGGTCAGTAAAAGATTTTTTTTTTATTAATCTTATACATTTAAAATTTTATTTTAAAAATTAGATCTCAGGCCTAATCTCACCAAAAACTAAACTATGCTGTTCAGCAACTCCAACGTTTTGAACAAAGTCTTCTGGTCTAGCCTCTACCCTCACAATTAGTACAGCTCATACTTTTTCATTCTGCACAGCCCTGAACTCGATTGGAAGCTCTTTCTGGGAGTTGCTGTTCTATATACGTTTGTCTAATGGAACAGATGTTTCATCTGTGTTTGCTGAGTGCAGAACTAAGAATTTATTAAAATCCCTTATGAAATAATAAAGAGACATGAAATCCTGGAACTCTAATAAATTTGGTTTATACTTTTCACTAAGGTAACCTAAGGAAAAATTTAAGATTATAAAAAGAATTAACAATCTGTTGATTTATATGTAATTGTAGTGTTTCCATTCTCTGGTCAACTCTTGGGACTCTGAATTTACGACCTCTTACAATTTGCTTTACCATTTTGAGTTTCTGCTGGCTCTTGCTGTTGACATAATGGTGATGGTAATTATTGTTTCTTTAAAGATTGGTGTGAGACTGATTTCTGTGGGATTTTTATTTCTCACCATTATTGCAGATTTTTCTTATTTACTTTTCTGGAGTCTGTTGCTGTTAATAAAGTATCTGCAGTTTTAAACATCCTTTTAATGTTTCTTTGGATGTCACGCAGACAATATGGATAGAATGGGGCCCCGAGAGAATATGATGACATCTTCTGTGTATGATAATTTGCATGCCTTCACAGATTATCAGTTTAGTCTCAAAAGTAATCAACTTCATTAATCCTATGTTAGTTTTCTATCACTTCCTTTTTATTCTTTTTAATTGATACGTGCTGAAGAAGTGGTCAGTGCCTAGCTTGATGAAGCTGCATTTTAATTTCAATGTACAGCAAGGGATTAAAAAACAAAACAAAACAAAAAAGCAACCCTTCTTGGCCAGGAGTGAGCCCTTAGACTGCAGGAGTCTTTGAAGAAACGCTAGCATTTGAGAACACTGAATGACACCACTGTGCCAAGGAGCAGCTTGTGAAAGTTGGGTGCAAGTAACAGAAAACAGACGAAGTTACCTTGGGGCTTTGAGAATTCAGAATGAGTGAACATTGTGCCTGAGGCGTGTGTTTTTAAATATCTCCTGTTAGTGGGCCTTCCTGTTTCTTCAGTTAGAGATACTACAATTGAGCAAGCATGTCTTATTTGTGGAAGTCCTTTTCTATAACCTGATCGATGAGGTTGAAAGTGTTAGTCTGGTTTCAGAAGCCATGTACGTCAAAGTTAACTGTTTTTGAATAGCTCGTATGCACAAGAGCTATATGTGGAGACTTGTAATTTTTGTTTGTTTGTTTTTTATTTTGACAATCTTTACATAGTTAACGGGTAAAAAGGTTCAAGAGACTTGTGATTTTTTAAAGATTTATATTTATTTGAAAGAGGGATGGAGGGAGAAGAAGATCCACTTTGACAACCTCATCACCATCACCGAAGAACATACGGAGCTGTTAATGGCAAAATATTTACATTCTATTTCCCCTCCCCGGATTGGCACTAAATCATCTGACATCAAATTAGTCTTTTAGGTTCATCCCATTAGAAAGAGACTGAAAAAGTTTGGCTTAAAAATATTGTGTACTCATAAAATTTTTGGCAGGAGGTAAAATTTTTACTTTTGAAAGTGTCATAAAGTCCTTCAAAGCAGAAAAAAAAAAAAAGGGAAGTAGCTGAATGAAGAAAAAAAATGCTTAAGAAAGAGGAGACCAGAAAAAAAGGGAAAAAAGAAAATGGTTCAAGTAGAGGGAAGAGTGTGTTAACATTCTTCAAGGCCTACATGATTTTTCCTTTCCTGTGTTAGAATGTTTTATTAGGATAACTACCAAAAAAAGTACTTGAGGAAGCAAGATGCATGCTAGACTTTAGTCATCCTGTAAATTTTTAAAAATATGTAAGTAAATCATGGATGACAAACCTTGTGAATCTTACGCTGAATGAGATCAACAATCAACATGGCCGTTTATGGTGATACAGGTAGAGCATCCTTTATCCAAAATTCTTGGGAGTAGAAGCATCAGATTTCAGAATGTTTGCTTATACGTAATGATACGTCTTAGGGATGGGAGTCAGATATAAGCAAGAAATCCATTTTTGTTTCACATATGCCTTATGCACATAACCTGAAAAAATACAGCATACCTGCATTTTAATTGTGACTTATCAAAGTCAGCTGTGGAATTTTTCTCATTCATTATTTTAAAGCTTTCATATTTTGCAGTGTTTTAGATTTCTGACTTTCAGATTAGGAGTGTACAGCCTTACTTAAAACATACCGTAAATTTGTTTTAGGTAACTAAATAATGGTGGAATTTTATCTTTGTAAAATATTTGTAGGTGCTACTAGAGTTATAAATCATTAAGCAAATTGACAGGCTGCATCTTTCAATTAGCATAATAGATTTTGCCCTTTCATCTAAGACTGCTGTGTTTCTTTTTTATCATTTATTCACTGTTTAGATTTTCTTTTTTATGCCACTGAAGGAACTGATATCTGTTATTTTCACAGGGAACGTGATGCAAACAAAATCAATTACATGTATGCTCAATATGTCAAAAATACTATGGAACCACTTAATATCCCAGATGTCAGTAAAGATAAAAGATTTCCCTGGACAGTAAGTAACCCAGTTTCAGATGTGAGACTAAAAGACTGTTTTCCTCTCACTGGATACTTCAGCAGGTGCTGTCAACTGAAGGACAGTCCTCAAATGAATTGACTGAGAAGTAATCCATGCTTTCCTTGATCTGATAAAATACAATAAAACATCTTACAAAACTTTATTGAGTGCTGTATGTAGGTGTTTTTCCCTGTACTGTTTGCAGGTTTCAAAAACATGTAGAAATGAATTATATACTCATTCAATTTCTAGATAACTTATTACCTACATAATAATGTCAGTTACATTTCTTAGCTGGCATTGCTGGTGTTCCTCATTTTATCCACATAAATTTAATTGCATTAGACTTGAACATGTGTAGATGGTAATCTATCGTAGTGAGTTGCTCCACAGAAAAACTGAGGAACTGTTTTCTTTGATGGCAAAGCCATGAAAATTATTTCTTGGATGCCTGAAACTTTGCATTCTGGCATTTTCTTACAGTTATGTCAGAAAAGCAGCTGCTTTGATTTTATTATTTGCAAATCTGGGAGAGCTTTTTGGAACTTTTATATTGTGAGCCATAGAAACACTGGTATCTAAAGAAGAATTGTTGCAACATGGTGTTCTGGGTGGCAGGATGCTTTTGAATTATGCACCTCCTGTGAATTCATTTGAGATATCTGTTCAGCTGGTATACTATACAGGAATATTTTACTGAAAATTACTTGGGAAATTTTCATGTGGAAAAACTATAAATCCTGGCTATTATAAAATAAAGACTGATGGGGTTACATTGCATTTATGTGAGCTTCATTATAACATGTATTTTTCCTGTGCGATAGCCTTTCTCCAGCTAATAAATGGGACTCTGTTATTGGGCTGACAAATGCCATATGGTTCATATGGCCTATAGTGAACAAACCAATCTTGGGGTTTTGTTTTGTTTTGTTTTGTTTTTCATTTTAACTGTTCTGTTTTTGTTTTTATTTAGAATGAAAGCACAGGAAATGTAAGCCAGCAGTGCATTCGAAGTTTGCTTTGTACACCTATAAAAAATGGAAAGAAGAATAAAGTCATAGGTAAAGGCCTTTCTGTTAATCTCTGTGCTGCACTTCTGCTTTAAATGCATTCCCAACTACCTCTTTTTTTCAAGCACAAACTTAAAAAATGAAATGTTGAAGAAAGTAGAAAGTGAGAAAATTTGTAAATAATTTTATATTAGTGTCAACAGATGTCTGTTAAGCCTTGTTAACAACTATGTAATTATAATCCTGTTCAGAAGTATATCTCAGTTTAGAATGGTATTGTGTTGAAAATTAATAGAGTAAATGGGAGACATCAAACTGATAATGTGTAATGTTTTAGAATCTTACTTCCTGGTTTCCAGGGTTTTTTTTTAATGTAATTTGGAATGTAGGTTGTATTGATTCATTCATTCAGGAAACATTTATTGGAAGCATCTTTGTTCATGGCACTTAGGATAAATCAGTGAACACAGCAGAAACCCTTACTGCAGGAGCTTATTGTCTCGTCTGAAGGTTATGAAAATGCTCTTCTTCAGGAATAATGGAAGAACACATTATAGCAAAGATGGAATGGACAAATTATCAACATTTCTCCTATTATTAACATTTTCTTAAATTGCATTTACATTTAAAATGTGGCAGAGAATTGGCATTTTTATCTATGTCAACCATCTGCGACTGACATAGTAAAAGTCATATGAACTATTATCATTGTCCCAAAAACCTAAAAATAAAGAAAATATAGAATGACTTGTAAATGCTAAACTTTAACATTGCGTAGCTAAAGGAAGCAGTAGTTACATATGTAAATTTGCCTTATATCTGAACAATTTCAGGTCACAAGATTTGACAGTAACCTTATTTATGTTAAGTAGCAGAACGAGAGAGCAGGAGGGATTATTAATGAAGCAGGGAGCAAAAGGTAGATATTTGAAGCATCTATCTAAGTTCTGTCCAGAGGTGAGGAAACATTTGTCCCTGAAGGCGGAGATGGTTACAGAGTAGTGTCGGTATGTACTGAGGATTCTGGCCATGTGACACGCCACAACTGAGGTGGAGATGAAGCATGCTGCAGGTTGTAGCCAGCAGCCTCTCAACACTTCCAGTCCCTTGCTAATGTTAATATGCGTCCCAGTGTGAGATGGATACCTCGGCTTACTGCCATTAAACATTCCGTGACACTGACTTCCCTTGCTCGGATTCCAGGCCTACCCATCTGCACTTCCCTTGTTCCGATTATTTTTCTTTCCAATGTAGATTAGCTCATAAGAAGTGAATGCATTATTCATGTCATCTCAAATACATTAGATGTTTGGACAATTGCTTCCCTCTGTAAATTAGCAAAGTGGACTTGAAGCAATGGGTTGCAGCTGCAGGTACACAGACTCTTGTTCGTGCAACAAATCTATTTTTCGTTGTGCATTAATAAATATTCTGGCTTTATAAATCAGTGTTGTCAAATTAGGAACTATGACTTCATGAGAGAGAGAGGGGAAGAAATCTGTCCCCAGTTTGTCATCTAGACTCTAAATCAGCAAGACTGAAGTTCAAATCCTGAACCCAAAGAATTACACACAAAAGTAACTTAGGAGGCAGCGTGCCAACTCCCAGCTTGGTTCTTTGGTCAACTATACTCTTCTGTCATTCTCAGAGCAAAAGAATAGAGGCCTATGAACATGTAGACTCTCTTTTGAAAAAGATCACTAGCAAGATACCTAAGAAAGCCTTAGAAGAAAGCTGCAGAGCCTGCCTTACTAGCAATACCACACAAATGATACATTCTAAAATCCTGGGCAGATCAAGGAGGGGAAGCTGCATTTTTAATGTTATTTTTAAAATGATTTTCATGTAAGTCTAAAGATTTACTATAAAGCTGCCTATAACCTATAAAAATGTCAAGTTAAAATCCAGGAGGAATACTATACTTACCAGTACATTGTCATAAGAAGGAAGACAGAATAGCAACTCCTCAGACAGTAAGCCCTATCTTCATTTTCCCTCTACGGTCATCTCTGGGAACAGGTTTGGCTGGCAGAAGCGATGGTCAGAAGCTCTTTCTTGCTGTGCACAGATGGAAAGAGCCGTGTAGAGGAGGTGCAAATAGCACCTGACTAGGAAGGGGACTCCCAGTGTATTTGCTCTTGATGTAAATAATTAGAGTGCATCCCGTACCTCTGGGTAGTTGAACCCAGGAAGCTTCCAGAATTCAATTCACATGCTCTGGTTTTGTTGCTGTTTCAGGTAAGTGAACAACAAAATTGAAAGACAGCCTTTGTAATCATCAGACTTCTCTTGGCATCTGTTTTGTGTCACCCAACCTGATAACTGAACCAAAAGTATACAGGTATTTTTTGGAGAGGAAAAATTCCCAGTAAGTAGAAAGGGACGCAAAGCCATGATTCACACAGAGATGTTGCAGCAGAGGGAGGCTGTTCAAGTTGAGCTCAGTTAGGACAGAGAAAACGTGCAGTGTTCCCTGCTATTGTTGAAGTGATAATACTGAGAGTCTGAGCTCTGAACCATACTTACTTACCCATATTTGCAGCATGGCAATATCCCAGTTTCAACTCGTTTGTCTTGCAAGTCACAAACCAGATGCCAAGCTCAGGTGATTCTGACAGAGAAGCCTTATTGAGTCATATACAGAAGGACAGGCAGACTTGTCTGTTTTTTGTCATTTTCTCCTGTCCTCCTCATTTTTTCCCCTTTTACTGACATGTAGATGAAATTATAGCCATTAGATCAGTCCAGGGTCTGTTGTAGCATTCCATTTATTCCCTGAGGTATTGTTTCACATCATCAAATGTTTGCTTAGAGCTCTGACTGGCACAGAGTTTCTACCACTTGACTTCCAACACTGTAAAGAATTTTTTTTTCTTCTCAAAACTTATTTTACCCCATTGTTTCCCGTATTTATCATGTAAAATATGCCCTTTTGTTTTTCTCCATCATTTTACCATATATTCTGATGCCTTTTTTGAAGAAATTAGTCTATTACCATCCAGAAAAATGCTTGAAACATCTCCACTTTGAAGAGCTTGTGTTTGTCTCCTTGATTGTAAAAACAAGCAAACAAAAAAAAAATACATGATAAAAATTACAGCACTGTACTGTGCATTGTTTCAGAGAAATACAATATGCATTTGTTATGGAATATATATATGTAATATATATACACATAGAGAGACTGAGACTGAGTATATATTTCAACATTGTTTCTTATTTCCACAGTGAATTTTGTCACTCTCTCACATAACTGACTACATTTCAGTCACCATTGGCCTGTGCAAAACTATGGTGTATGCAAAATATGTGGAATTATTGCTTGGTGACAGACCTGTCTTGCTTTGAGTAAGCACACACTGTGATGTTCACACAATATGGAATTGCTTGATGACACATTTCTCAGGGAGTGTCCTCATGATTAAGTTACACATATCTGTATTTTCACACTTGCTCTGTTAGCGGGTTTAAGCTGGACACACACCTGCATCATTGCTAATAATCAGCATAATTAGAATGCAAAAGCCAAAACTATTAAAAACATAAGTAGAAATAGAATAGTGGTCATAGTAGACCTTTAGTTTATCTCTCACAGAATAATAAAGTACAAGAAAAAAAATAAGGAAGCACTAGAATTTAACAATTAAATGCATTTAAAAGATTTCTTTTATATTGAAATAACATTTGAAATATATTCAAAATATATTTTTCTTTTGTATTTGAAATATGAAATTTGAAAAAATACAAATTTTCATAAAATAACTATCTAAATTAATAAATATTAATGATATATACATAGAAGTTGCTTGTATACATCACAGTACACAAAAACTGGAAATATGCAATAAAAAATATGTTGGGCGGAAAAATTCAGACACTGAAGTATTCTCCTAATGAGAAAAATTAAAAGTCAAAATTCAGTTGTACCCTTTTATACAAATAATTGTATCAATTTAACATAAAATCAAGGCACGTGGCCAAAGCTATACTCAGAGGAAAATATATAGCCTAAATATTTTATTATTATTTAAAAATGACTTTTAAAAAAATATTTATTCATATATTTTGAAAAACACAAATGCTGAGAGAGAGAAAGCTCTGTCATCTAATTTATTTGCAAATGGCCACATCAGCCAAGGCTGGGTCAATCCATAGCCAGGAGCCAGAGACTCCATCCTGTAGTCCCACATGAGTGGCAGTATCCCATGCAAGAGCCATCTTCTGCCATCCCAAGATTATCAACAAGAAGCAGGAGGGGAAGCAGAGTAGTGGGGACAGGAACTAAGGCACTCATGTAAGATGCTGGCATCTCAAACAATAATTTAACCTGCATGCCTCAATAACATTTATTTTAACTGAACATTCAGGGAACTTCAAAAAACAAGACTTTTCTCTTTCTCACCATCTATTCAGAAGATATTTTAAGTTTTTCATGGGAGCAATTGGAAAAGTTATTGTAAATTTTGTGGGTTTTTTTTTTTAACTATTGGCCCCACAGAAAGCAAAAAAAATAATACAAAGGCAAAACATAATTTTAAAAATTCTGATAAAAGCTATCAGATAAGAAAATGGAATAAGGTGAGACACAGAAAGAGACAGCAAAATTAAATGAGTTCACATGAAATGATGATTTAAATGGAAAGCCCTAATAGGATCATGTAAGAGTATGTATCTAAAAAAAAGAGTGTTTTTAGTTAGTATCTGGTTGTGAAATAACTTTAATATGTACTGAGACAAATTTGTTAGGGGGAAAAAATGGAAATAAATCTTATTTAACATGTAAACAAGGAACAAACTTAGCCAGAAATAGGCACCATATATAAAAGAAAAGCTCATATCCAGAAATGAAGACACAGTACAACATGCATCTCTGCTTCCAAACAAAAGATGGACTCCCAATGAAAATTGGGATATATATCTAGACAATGGGATCTATAGTTGGATATATCTAGACAATAGGATGATAGACTGTCTACGTTGTCCGTACCAAAATTGTCGGGGCACACTTAAATAGCAGACTGATGGAAATGTAACTCCTTAGGAAGAGTGTGACCTTATGGGAAAAATCAGTTGGGGGCAGAAAGTGGGGGGAGGGTAATCCCAGACTATACAAACTTGTATGATAAATTTCAAAAATAAAAATTTTAACATTAGTTAATTAATTAAAAGTCTACTAACTCAAAAGTCCTTAACACCTGAAGTGCTTTCTGGATGATTTGCTTCTGTTTTCTAACTTATCAACTCTCTCCAGATCAGATTTTTATCAATTTAGTACATACATGCCCTTGTCCAACTTATAGGAAGGCTCAGAAGTTTTCTCAATCAACATTTGTAAAAACATTATAAAAAAGAATTATTACCATAGTTACAGAATTGCCTGATCAAGAATTAAAATAATATCATCAAAGTTACAGCAGGGGTGGGCATTTAGCCTAGTGGTCAGCAGTTAAGAAAACTGCATCTCACATTGGAGTCTCTGGACTGAATTGCTAGCTCTGTCTTCTGATGTCAGGTTCCTGATCACGCACGCCCTGGTAAGCAGCAATGACTCAGGTAATCAGGGTCTTAGTATCCCCATGGAAGACCAGGATTGACTTCCTCATTCCCAGTTCTCATGTAGACCAGCCCCAGCCGGAACAGGTATTGGGGGAGTAAACCAGTAGGAAGAAGCGAGCACTTCCTCTCTTTCCCTTCAAAAAAAGTAAAATATAATAAAAATTATTTTTTAAAAAAATAGATAAATTACAGTAAATGTACCAGAAGAGATGGCAAAATTGATGGAACACAGCAGAAAATCAAAATGCAGAATCTAATATGTTGTGTATAATTTTGTGATTTTATAGAACAGAGTACATTTCATTGCTCTATAAATAAGATACCATTGATTGAAAGATAAACTTTTATGTATCTCCAAGAAAGAAAATAACTATGAAATAATTGAAAATAATAATCAATTAACTATGACAAGCTATTCTAATTTCAAAACTGAGAAAAGTTAAAACAGTAATAATAATTGAAAAAATAAACATTTATAAGATGGCATTTCAGCAAATCAGAGAATTAAGGTATAAAGATAACTGACAAAGGACAGGATACATGATTAGGATGGGTTTTACAAATTAATAAGACAGCATGCTTATTTTGGAATCAGTATTGTGTGAGACTCTAGAAGACCACAAGCAAGGGAAGAGTTGGCCCCTTTTCTGCTGAAAAGCCAAGAGGTTAGGGACACCCGCACCTGCAGTACTGTGTGGTTTGATTATTTTCAGAGGTGACTTCAGTGTCATGTTCAAGTGAAATAGCATCTATATGAAAGAAATCTGTGAACTTTCAATATTATATTAAACCTTTGATTTACCATCCGACTTGGTTTTCCCCATTATGCCTGCACTTACTGAATTTTGCTGAATGGCTTTCTTATATTTTTGGTTCTATATTAACTGGCTTTTATGTGTAAATGAATCTGATTTCCTATGACTTACTAGCAGGCATTGCATCTCAAATTCCTAGTTTCTATTACATTATACTTTATATCCAGTCTTCTACATAATTAATGACAGCTGTGTAAACTATCTGCGAATGGGACCAAGTTTTCTCTCATGACAACCTTCATTTGAATGAACATTCATTATAGCCTTTTTTAAAATTTAGATATTTTTGTTTGATATAATTAACTTTTCTATAAGGTATGAAGAGATCAATGGGATTGCAATGAGAACTATATCAGAGCGGCTGCCCATTCTACCTTCCAAGGAGAGCTCAATCAATGACTCATGAATGATTTGTCTTTGGGATGCATTCCCTTGCCCCGAATCTGAATAATTCTGTCTGTGTGGTAACACAGACACGTGTTAACTGCTCTGTTCTGAGCTTGGCTGATATAGCAGAGTCTTCATATTTATATACTTGACATTCCATTTAAATGAGGTGGAAGCAATTCCAGAGGTATGACTTAGCACCTCCAGTCTTCACAGGGTGAATTTGACTGAGGCATAGGTTAAACTGCTAAGTGCAACAGTTAGCTAAGTCATAAGCCTAGCTGACCGCCTGCATCCACTCCTCCTTGTTATGCTTCCCTTGTTGTACATATAGGAATTCCCATGAAGTAGTGAAGAAAAGCTTTGTTTATGCAAGCTGACCATCAAGTAGGAGAAGAATTTAGTAAAAATGAAAAGGCAGTTCCACTGTGGTGTAAGTGTTAAGGGCATGAAACGCATTGACTCTCAAGAAAATGTGATGTGGGACACAGCCAGAGCCTATATAAACAGTTCCATATTTATAATCTGGCGATTCACAAAGACTGGAGGAACGTAACCCATGTGTTTTTTCTGTACATTGGGATATGCACTTTTAAAATAAGTGTTGACTTGCATTTAGTACATGGTTTTTACTTATCGTGTCCAAATTCATTATAAAACATGTTTCAGCATTTTCTTTGGTTAAGAGAAGTCATTACTGTCATACTAATGATGGTAGGTAACACATAGAAGCCTTTTCTGTTGAAAGTAGACCCTTAAAAGGAACAAAAAGAACACAGTTTTTGTCGTGTAAAAATTAGGCACACACCAATGCTGGGAAAGAGACAATCCATGCATCTGAGGAGTACTGTAAACGATTGTGGAACATTTATATCATGAAAAAAGAAAGAAAGAAAAAAAAATAGGCAGAGTTTCCCAATCTTTCTGCACTGAAGCAAACTTATCTCTTATTTTCACTTTCCATGAACTTTTTGAAATGTTCTCATGTCATCACAGATTTTACACAATCCTTTTGTGTTCCAGGAAAAATAAAGCCCAATAGACTATAATCTTCATGGGAAAGTTGTTTGGGTAATAGCTACAGTCCTGCATTCTCTAATTGACTGAGTTTTTTTTTTTTCTGCTATTTGCCAGTCATGTTGCTAGCTAATGAAATTGGACTAAAAAAAAAAATCTAAGCCCAAAATATTTGCTGCTGAGATGCTGAGAGAAAAAATAAAACTCCACCGTGATAACTAGATGATAGTGTTAAAGGCAGAGAACAGAGAAGTGCCAGCTATACCTGGAAGGCGAGTGACCTCCAGAGCTCCTCATGGAGCAGGTGTAGGGATTAGACACTGGTTAGGAGGGCATTGAGGGAGCCATCCTGCTGTGGCAAAGCTCAGGGGTAGGTGTTAAGGCAGACAACATGCAAAGAGAGCAGCCAGAAGTGATCTGACAGCTGAGTGTGGTGAAGAGCCCTTTAGCACCTCAGTGGAAGGGGGTAGTGCAAAAATGAGCAGAAGTTTGGATTTCAGATCCATGTGTGGTAGCTGACAGGCTTTGAATGAACACAACTCTTTTGTAAAATAAGATCAGTGGGGTCGCTGCTGTAGTGTAGCCTGTACAACTAGTACCTGCAGTGCCAATATTTCATTCAGAGGCCAGTTCAAGTCCCATCTATTCCACGTCTGATGGAGCTCCCCAAAAATGTATCTGAGAAAGCAGGAGAGGGTAGTCTGAGTCCATGGATCCCTACACCCACATGGGAGACCTGGAGGAAACTCCTGGAGCTGATTTCCAGACAGGCCCAGCTCCAGCTATTCCAACCATTTGAGGAGTAAACCTGTGGAAAGGTTACTCTAAATCAGTCAATCAGTTCTCTCTGTCTGCCTCTCTCTCTCTCTTTCTCTATTCCCATTACCCCTTCCTTGTTTCTCTCCCACACCCTCGCTGTAGGGTCTGCCTTTCAAACAAATAAATCTTTCTTTAAAAATAGGGATAAGGGCCCAGTGTGGTAGCCTAATGGCTGAAGTCCTCACCTTGCAAGCACTGGGATCCCATATGGGTGCTGTTTCTAATCCTGGCAGCTCCACTTCTCATCCAGCTCCCTGCTTGTGGCCTGAGAAAACAATAGAAGATGGTCCAAAGCTTTGGGACCCTGCATCATGTGGGAGACCTGAAGGAGGCCCCTGGCTTCAAATTGGCTCAGCTCCAGCCATTGAAGCCACTTGGGAAGTAAACCAGTAGACGGAAGATCCTTCTCTATTTTTGCTTCTCTCTGTAAATCTAACTTATAAAATCTAACAATAAAAATAATTAATTAACTAATCTTAAAAATAATAGGGTGATCACACTTACCTTATACTATAAATTGTGAGCACTAATGAACATGTGTCTACAGAAGTATTTTGCACAATGCCGGTACCACCAGTGTACCTTTGGTACAAGTCTATTATATATTTGGAAATAAAGTGATAGAGATTTAAAGTGTTTTGTCTAGAGGCAGGCTATTTCACTGTACTCTTGGTGAAACCAACAGACTCAGAATCTCACAGAACAATCAGTTCAATAACGATAGGCGTGATGTTGATGGACTCTTCCATTCTTAGGGACTAGAAGTTTGGTTTTCCAAGACAGGTAGGATTTAGGGATTATGATTGTCTTCAAAGATTATATCTGTTTAAGAGTTCTAAATTAATGGTCATTTTTATTTTCATGCATTGGTTTCATTAAAGTTGTCTGTAAATACAGTTCTCCTAGATATACTAATTACATAATAGAAATTAGAGACTGTGTGAATTGCCTGGCATTTATTCATTCTGTTCTGTCCATAATTGTGTTTTTTAACTTCTGGTTTCTCAGGAAAGGCAATCTGTGTGACCTAAAATTCTGATGTGTATATATCAAAATTGTTCTCTTGGCAAGTATACAAAAATCCAATTAGCTTCCAAAGGACAGATTGTCTTTGGGGATTCAGATGATCTAAACTGCATGACTGAGTCTAGTATTTTATGAACTCAGGCATTTTGCATTTAGGAGCATGTGAACTTGGTTCTCTTGTAACCTATTTTTTACTCTTTTGGCTCACAGTTGTGAGGATTCATTTGCTCTTTTTGGAGCTACGAGGCATTCCTAAAGCAAAGTCAGTAGCTAATCTGGGGGTATGGATGTCAAAGTCAATGCAAAGTCATGATCACTGAAGTAACATATGCCCAATTTCTTCAATTGCTACAGGGGTCTGCCAACTTGTAAATAAGATGGAGGAGAATACTGGTAAGGTTAAGCCTTTCAACCGCAACGATGAACAGTTTCTGGAAGCTTTTGTCATCTTCTGTGGCTTGGGGATCCAGAATACACAAATGTATGAGGCGGTGGAGAGAGCCATGGCCAAGCAAATGGTCACATTAGAGGTGAGCTGAAGCTTGTAGGCTCCATGGTCTGTGTATCCAGAGTGCCCCTGGGAGATTCGAATGTGCTGGAAGCACATGAAGCAGTGGCATAGGCCTCCCGTGAAGCCAGTCCCTGCCACGTATTTTTCACCAGCTGGCTGCAAAGCATGTATTTTGCCTAACATGGAGATTTCTTACATCATAGGCCAGTTTAAGGGAGTAGACTTTACTGAATGGATAAATGTTTTTACTTAGGCATTCCTATAATGTTATGAAATATATCTATTCTTATCAAATATATCTATTCTTATCAAATATATCTATTCTTATCAAATTGGTGTCAGTGAAAATTGATGTTTGGGGCATAGAAACCTTTCCTCCTATCCTTGATAAATAAATATCAGAAAATAGAAAGATATTCTTTATCCAACAAGGCTAACTAATAACCAGGATATTTAAAATTATAAATGAAAATATATTTCATATTTATATATACATATTTCAGGAAGTTTTAATTTATACATGCATGTACATGAAAGCATAGTTTCAACTATATGCATGAATGTATACTTTGTGTTAATGTATACGCATATCATTTTAATCATTTTTTCTGGTTTTTATTGGGTTTGTATTACAGAAGTACATCGAAGCTAGCCATGAACTAGTTTAAGAATCCCTTGTACTCATCAGCCAGCATTAACCCCCATCTATCTATAACCCCCATCTCCTGTGTACTCTTTTCTTCCACTGCATTATTTTGAAGCAAATCTCAGACATCATACCCTTGTATTCAGAATCTCCAAATATCGTCCCCAGTGAATTTAGTTGTGTTTTTGTTGAGTGTATGAATGGTTAGCTTTCAATTGGTATAGAAAGTTTTCAATTTCAGGCTGTGATGTGAAGTTATTCCTGAGATCACAGGTCTCGCCTTATGATAATGTTTGTGAAACGAGGATGCAGACCCCTCCAGTGTCCCAAGGAAAATGAAACATTTTGATCTAGGAGATGTGATATTACAATAACAATTAAACAGAGATAATAAAATAGTTAACATTCATCAAATGCATCTTTCATATTCTAATACATTTGGAAAAATTGTTTCTTACTCATGTTATTTTCAGTTTATGGTAATTTTTTTTAATTAGAATGTGTTTGGTTTTTCCTTCATTTAATAATAGACCAGTTCACAGGACCAGTCTTAGTGTAATCTTTCCACAGCCTGCCCCTGTGACGTCGGCAGCAAATGTGAACAGCTATGACACGTCAGAGTCACTTGGACCAAAGGCAACAATTCTTAGTTCCCCAGGTTTTTTTTTTCTTAAGATTTAGTTATTTTTATTGGAAAGTAAGATATAGAGAGGAAGATCTTCCATCCATTGATTCACTTCCCAAGTGAAAGCTAAGCCAATCCAAAGCCAGGAGCCAGGAGCTTCTTCTGGGTCTCCCATGCGGGTGCAGGGTCCCAAGGCTTTGAGCCATCCTGGACTGCTTTCCCAGGGCACAAGCAGGGAGCTGGATGGGAAGCGGGGCTGCTGGGGCTAGAACCAGTGACTATGTTGGATCCTAGTACATTCAAGGCGATGACTTTAGCCGCTAGGCTACCACACTGGGCCCGTCAGCCTGATTCTTAAACTCCACAAGAGTAGCGCAAAGTGTCATGGAGCAGAAGTTGAAAGCAAATTCCCCGGCTTTGTCCTCTTTACGGTGTGACCTGTCAGCCTCAGTGTCACCTGTGGTTTATGGGGGCTGTATAGGTCAGCACAACTCTTCTCACCTCTAGAATTATGAGTTTAATATGGTCCTTAAGTACCTATAAATGAAATCCTAGCCATATAACATTTTTGTATGAGTTTTACCTTAATTACAGGCCTCATATGCGGGCTATTTCTCAGCTTCTTTCCACATATCAATATGAAAATGTCAGTTTACATAAAGGTTGTTTTCCCCTTATATAAGCAAAAATAACTAAAGTCAGGTTTTGTTTTGTTTTAACCTGTTTCTTTGTAAATTTTCAGCCATGTTTGAGCCCGTAGTTATTTCTAATGTGTCTTATAAACAGTGTTTTCATGACCTCAGCACTGCCGGAGTGGAAGTTACAGGAGTTTTCTTGGAATGTAGGGGTGATAACTTTCTCTGAAGGAAGCAGCAGAGTCTGAGTCTGGAACTTGGACTGTTGCACAAAGCAGCGGATGAAGCTTGCTCTTCCCAGGAGGCTGGCTGTCTTGGGGAAGAAATCTTGATGAAATGCCATGCCTGAACCCCAGGTCTGCATTCCTCGTTCCAGCTCTCTTCAACCTGAGCTCTGCGTTTCTTCCCTGTAGGTTCTGTCCTATCATGCTTCCGCAGCAGAGGAAGAGACAAGAGAGCTCCAGTCCTTAGCGGTAAGTCTCTTTCTTCTTAAAAATTACCATTTGCCGACATCAAATTCCTACACGAGTATATTTTTCTTTACTACCATTTGTCCCCTCAGCATGTAATAAAATTTATAATTATTTAGGTAAATGCTCAAATATATTTCAGCAACTCTTTCTTTTGCTGTTGTGATTTGCTGTCTTCCAGAAGTACAAAGTCACTGACAGTACAGGACAAGAGGCAACGGATTTTATTGACTTTGCGGTATATTACATGATTCTGTCTTATCTTTACATCTACTTTAGGCCAACATTGAAATTAATTTTCAGTTCCTGGTGAAATGAATACCAGTGACTCCCAGGTCCGTAATTTGCCTAATGACAATGTAGAGCTGATTGTTTATCACCAAGAATCTATTCCACCTTATCAAGAATTAATAATTTATGGCTTATTTTATAAATGAATGAAAGATTTTAATATATTACCAAATGGCTTACAGAGTGCTCTTTGAAATTGATTTTAAATAAGGTCAGTTAGTGAATTTTGATTACACTGTTATTTAGTATATGATAAGAGAAAAACACATAGTATGTTTCAGCTCTTGGTTGGAATGGCTTTGATTGGAGTCATGAATATTTAAGACACGTAATGCATTCGCAACCAAGACTGCCTTCTGAATTCAATGCCTTGGCTGTGACTTACATAGATCTGCCTATGTGAAATGTGATGAGAGTCAATTAAAAATGGAGAGTTTGAATGGTTCATTGTCATTATCATCCTATGCTAACTGTGTCTTGTTTTTATGTACATTTTCTTATGTAAACCACATAAGTGAGTTAGGAAGATCACACTGATGCCTAAGAAATCAAGTAACTTTCTTGAAGTCACATTGTCATGAAGTGGGCGATTTTGGATACAAGCTCACAGTCTCCCTCCAGAGCCCTATATATAACATCTGTTATGTGATTATGTAGTCAAAATTAAACTCTGATATTTTGAACTTGGTATTTCAAGGAACAATGCCATTAATCAGTAAGAGTGGCAATTATTAACAAAAAAAGAGCATAATTGATTTAGGTGAGATAAATTTGTGATGCTGGTGGAACAACCAAGTGAACTTCTTAAACTCTAAGAAAAGGCAGCCTAGAGTGGTGATGAGGTGGTGGTGAGAACCAGAGGTGAGGACTTGGGGCTTGACATTCCATGATAGAGGAATCATAGGAGTCGAGAGTGCAGAGGAGTGTAGAAGACTGGGAATGGGTCTCGTGAGTATAGGTTAAGCTGGAAGGAGCAGGTGCTCTTAGCAGCTGCTAAGATTGAAAAGTAACAGTGAAGTAGGGAGAAAGGTTTATAGGAGTACTGTGTTACAAATATATAAGTGCCTCAAATATTCATTACCCTAATCAAGGTTATCCCAACCAAGTACTGCAACACACTTACATATCAATGTGTTTTTCTCTCACCATATACTAAATAACAATATGATCAAAATTCATTAGCTGACCTTTTTTGAAACCAGTTTCAAGGAGCACTCCATAAGCTATTTGATCAGAAATTAAATCCAGTCCCAATTTTGATAATGTGGAGTGGATTCTTGATAATAAACTCATGTATGTCATTTTTTCTTGTATTCCATGTATTAGATACCAGAAATTATAGAAAATATATGACTCTGTGAGACTGGTTTATTTTTTTAAAAAGATTTTTTTTATATATTGGAAAGTCAGATATACAGAGAAGAGAAGAGACAGGAAGATCTTCCATCCAATGATTCACTCCCCAAGTGAGCGCAATGGCCGATGCTGTGCCAATCCAAAGCCAGGATCCAGGAACTTCTTCCGGGTATCCCACATGGGTGCAGGGTCCCAAAGCCTTGGGCCATCCTCGACTGCCTTCCCAGGCCACAAGCAGGGAGCTGGATGGGAAGTGGAGCTGCCGGGATTAGAACCTGTGCCCATATGGGATACTGGCGAGTTCAAGGTGAGGACTTTAGCCGCTAGGCCACGCCGCCGAGCCCGAGACTGGTTTATTAAAGTGAGCATAATGATCTCTTGTTACATCCATTTGTTGAAAAAGATAGGATTTTAAACTTTTGTGTGGCTGAGTATTTTGGAGGATTTGTAGTAATGTTACGAAACAAGACTAAGATAAGACTGAAGGATTTGGTGATGAAGTGAATTCTGAGAAAAAAGTTTCAATGGTGGGAAAATGGAGGAAGTAGATTTAAAATAAGTTTTGTTTAAAAGTCAAATGGAGTGGAGCAGTAAATACAAAGGTTATTGGCTGAATCATGGGAAATATTTTTCTGTGAATTTGTGAACAGAGATTGCTCAACAATCAAGGGACCCAACTTGTTTTTTGGAAGATATAGGCATAAGTATGAAAAGGACCATGCAAAACAAGGGGAGAGACATGGGTCTTGCTGTGGCTTACTCAGGAGTCATTTCTGCTGCCAGAAAAAAAGGACAGGGATGCTAATAACCACTCCTTTACCTGCCATGTTCTAAGTTGTTTACTGAGTACATTTAAGCCGGAACAACATAGATGGTTGTTATTATTTGTATCTTGTGAAAGGGAATTGAAAAAAGGGCATATAGATGGGCTTTCTCAGGACCTCAACACTTATTAAATCTGGACCATCTTGGCTTCAAAGCCATTGCACAGCACTGGTGAGGCAGTTAGAAAGGAAGGGGGTATAAATGTGGAGACATCTTCAGGTAAGTAAAGCAGTAGGTAGGAAACGGAATCATTTTGCCAAAACTATTCTTGGAACTTTAGATGAGTTCACCTGAAAGGTTAAGATTCTATGAAAAATTGGTCTAACATGGAAGTGACTATAATTATTTTGTGTTTTTCATGATGATGTTTGAAGCAATGAGCAGTTATTATGTTACATTCAGGCATCACTTAATGGTGGGGACATGTTCTGAGACAGATATCATTAGATGAGTTCATCATTGGATGAGAAATGGTGGACTTACACACACCTAGATATTCATTCCATGTGACTTCCTGATGCAATCACAAGAATCAGTAATTATGAGACACAAGAAGCTGTTGCAGATGTAACATAGCATAGTGTTTTTCAGTAAACTTTGATCTGTATGTGGAATACAGATCTAAAATAATGATTCATAGTTTAGGAATCACATAAGCCAGTAACATAGTCATTTATTATTAAGTCTTTTGTATTGAACATAATTATATGTGCTATACTTTTATCCAAATGCAATGCAGTTTGATCATACTAGCATCACCACAAATACATGAGAAATGTACTCTGTAGAAGGCAAAGACAATCATGCTGTCATAAACAATAGGAATATATCAACTCCATTATAGTCCTAGACCACCATTGTCATACCTGCCCCCTGTTGTTGTACCAAATGTTTCTACAAAGATTCATGCATTTAAATTTGTCGTTTGCCTCAGGCTTAACTGTTCCAGTTACCTTTTGCCTCCTGAGAAGATATGCTTTTCCTCTAAAAGTGTACTGCACCTTGGAAAATTATCACATGACAGGATACATATTGTAGATCGTAGAAACTCTGCAAGGCTATTAAGTTAGTTCTAAAATGTTCCTAGGTTGTTTTAGGTAAATAAAAATTTTTCAAATTCTACATAAAATGCTAAAAAGTCAATAGTATATTAAACTTTTTCACTTTTAAAATAGATGGTTTCTCAGAAAAATCTGAAAATTATTTCCTCAATTATGTTTATAAAATTAGCAAGAAAAAAACAACACTCTGAGAGTAAGTGAAAATTGCTGCATTGTTGTATTGTTCAAAACCATCTGTTGTTCCATTTGGGAAAATAGATTTCTGGCAGCTGCAAAGAGAAATTCAGGGTTACATAGCTTGCAGGTCAAGTAATTCATTTAAATTGAATTTCAGCAACTGCTTTCAATTCCAGTTTTCTCTCAGTTCAATAGAAATCTCTTTACAGGCTGGCTACACAGGTGTCTGAAACACCCAACAATTACCAAAACTGTCTTTGTCCTATGTCTAATTACTTGCAGTAAAAATAACTTGTAGAGCTGTCAATTTTTTTTCTTAATTTTCATTTTTTGGATAATTTGTTTTATTTCTGTCAAGTGAACAAACTTCATGTCTTTAACAATACAAGTAGGAGCATCGTGAAGCTTCTCAATCTACTCTCTGCCTGCACCCCCACACACTCTTTTCCTTTCTCCTTTCTTTTTTTTTTCTTTTTAATTTTTGCAGTAGCATACTTTCAATTCACTGTTTACTCACAGACTGAACACATTAGGGACAGAATTCAACAGCTAACAAGTAGGAAAAAAAACTTTATTGTTCCTTAAGAGTATAGACAGAGGCTGTAAACAATAATCAAATATCAACATGTCAATCTCACTCATATAACTCTTTGTATTCTGTAGAGTAGTTATCACAGATCAGGGGAAAATGATCTCTGTCTTTTGGAGACTGCCTTATTCACTAAGCATAATGATCTCCAGTTGTATCTATTTTGTCACAAGACAGGATTCATTCTGTTTATGGCTGTGTGTTATTCTATACAGCTTATTTAAAGCGATTTGTTTATCCAGTCATCAGTTGATGGACATCTGCATTGATTTTGTATCTCAGCTATTGTGATTTTAGCTACAAGGAACATAGGTGTGCAAATAGCTCTCTTGTATTCTGATTTCATTTCGATTAAGTATATTTCCAAGAATAGCATCTAGACGCATGGTAGAATACACTGATCTCCACACTGGTTGTACGAGTACACTCCAACACTGAATTCAGGTACTTTTTCCTCCCCACATCCTCACCAGCATTTTTTTTTTTTAATTTTGAATGATAGCCATTCTAAGTAGGATGAGGTAAAATCTCATTTTTACTTAATTTTCCTGAGAATTTTTTAACAATCTTTTTGAAGATTACCTATTCATGTCCTTTGCCCATTTCTTAACTGAATTGTACTACTTTTATTGAATTTATTGAGCTCTTTATAGATTCTGAATATTTTCAATCAATTACATAGTTTGTAAAAATTTCTTACCATT